TGTCCTCTGAGAATGTATCTAAATCTTTTGGAAGTTACTTATGAGAGACACATCAGTATAATTACTTCTGTTTTATAATTACTTTTAATATTTTAAAATGGCAATCTGGAGCAGATTGTAAGTCTAAGAATTCTGCCACTCTAGAATGTTAGTCTAGGCAGGGGGTTTGAAATATTATAATAATGTAATATGTAAAAAATTCCTCTATTGGGGAACTATACGCCGGGCACTGTTCTATTTCACTTAATCCTCTCAACTGCCAGATGACAGAGGTACTGCTATTACCTCCCCAATTTTACAGATGAGAAAATTAAGGTGAAAAGAAGTTTGTCAGCTTGCCAACTTTATAAGGTTAGTAAGTGTCTATGCCCAAAATTGGAATCGATGGCTTACACTCTTAATTACCCCTCTCCTTCTTGCCACGCATAAGCCTCAAGGAGCTTTGAAATCATCTAAATGAGTTTAAAGCCAAACCAAAGGGGCCACTAACACTTGCTCTTGTTTCCGATCTTTCTCTGGGACTCCTTCACCAATTCCTTGACCAGTCCCTAAGGGGTCATGACCTTCCAGGCTCTGCAAGGAATTCCCTAATGCAGTACTCTCTAGACACACTCTATATTTACCCTTGATTACAAGCTGCCTTGGAGTTGCTTTTAAGCTATTTAATGTGTGTATGTTTCGTCTTCCCAACTAGATTGTAAACAGATAGAGGACAGAGGTTGTATCTTGTTCCTTCTGTATCCCTTCCAGTGCCTAGAACTAGACTGGAGACGTCCAGGGAGCTCATTAAGTGTTGCGGACGGTCTCCGGACCACCCTCCGTCCCACCTTGAACCCTTCCCTCTTCCTCGGTGAGCACTCCACTTCCCGCTCCTGGGTCCCCACCCCTGCCTCCTCTCTCCGTCCTTTTACTCCTTCGGGCCCCGCCCCGCCCTCGTGCAGGCCATCCTTTCTCACCCCGCCCCTCGCCTGCGGCAGAATCTCCAGCGTCCCCTAGCGACCAGGCAGTAGCCCCTAGCAACCGCATCTCTGTTCCCTGACGACGGCGGCACGCAGGCCACGTCAGCGCGCCGTGGCCCCGCCCCCCGGCGCCGGCAGGCCCCGCCTCCTCGTGCCTTTTTCGCCGCCGCTGCCGCCGCCGCTGCTGCCGCCGCCCGAGACTCGCGCAGCGCAGTTATGGCGGATCCCGCAGCGTCCGCGCCCGCAGCCCCGGCTCCCACCCAGGTCCCGGACGCGCCCCCTAGCCCGGACGCAACCCCCGCCCCAGCCCCGGCGCCCACACCCGCCGCGGACTCGGGCTCCGGGCCATCCTCGGACTCCGGCCCCGAAGCCGGCTCGCAGCGGCTGCTCTTCTCCCACGACCTGGTGTCGGGCCGTTACCGCGGCTCGGTGCACTTCGGGCTGGTGCGCCTCATCCACGGCGAGGACTCGGACTCGGAGGGCGAGGAGGAGGGCCGTGGGAGCTCAGGCTGCTCGGAGGCGGGGGGCGCGGGCCACGAGGAGGGCCGGGCCAGCCCGCTGCGCCGCGGCTACGTGCGCGTCCAGTGGTACCCGGAGGGCGTCAAGCAGCACGTGAAGGAGACCAAGGTGCGGCGGGCCGGCGGGCGGGGGCCGGGCCGGGGGGCCGGCGGGGGACCGAGTCGGCCGCTCGAGCCCTGGGCCGGGAGGGGAGGCGTTCAGGGCGCTGCCGGGTAGTGGTGCCACACTGCAGTGGGGCCGAGGTGGGAGGACAAGCCTCCGCGGCGGGGACGCTCCGGTGCAAAGTCATTGCACCAGCCCTGGGCCCCCGGGCCCCGGGCTTCCTCCACGCGAAAGACTGGCAAGCCCGTGCCAGGCAGCTGCGGTGTCGGCCTCAAGATCCTGTATGTGAACCCAGTCCGGTGGGGGAACTCTTGGGGCAGGCATGCTCTCGGCTTTACACCAGTGCGGCGTTCTGCTGACCCCCAGAGCAGCTACCTACTGCATTGTGCATCCAGAAAGGAAGGCCGTGCCGGTCCGTGCAGGGAGGGGTTGTGGGCATTCCAAAACAAAAGATAGAGGTGAAAATCTCGGCCGACATGAAACCCCAGGAAGTTCACTGGATTGCAGAATACGTTACTATGGGTGAAGAAAACCAGCCCCTTTGTGTTTTAGCTTGTTGCCTGGTTTTAACTGCTGCGGGGAACTTTGAGTAAAATCATTAACAATCGGAGTCCTGATATTAATAGCACTGGGGGTGCAGGGAGGGATGTGGCAGCTGCTGACTGGAATTGATGACTCTCTTAAGTACAGTTGGACTTCTTGGGGAAAAAAAAATACTGTAGAACCCTGGATGGAGGGGAGCTATCCATTTGGGAACCTGAAAGATTTGTCTTACCTGAGGCCATTAAGCACATAGCAGACTCCCCTGTTCATCATCATAAAACTTAAACCCTGCACCAGGGTTGGTTTGGTGACTTTTCTTGTCTTGTTTTCCCCGAGTGTGAACTCCTATCAGTAATTCACAGACATACACGCCTCTTGTATCTTTTACCCCTTTTTCATCTCCTCCTCCTTCTCTCCTGCAGGAAAACATTTCTTGGCAAGAATCAGGCCTGGACTGTTTTAGCTGCCCGGGATGTTGAGTGGTCTGATTTCAGGGGAGGGCACTTTAGAAGTTAATCTGGGTTTCTGACCCAATGGGAGACAAAGGCGACCTGCACAAGGGGTCTGTGATGACCTGTCTGGCTGGGAAGAAGTCCCCACTCTCCAGAAGAGCCTGTGATCCATTTCCTAGTGGCAGAAGTCACCGCTGATACCAGCAGGGTCTTTTTCCCGGCCAGTACATGCGCATCCACGGGCACAGAAATCCGTGCACAGGACCCCTGCTTCCCCTCAGAAAAATACAGACCAGGAGGTAGCTTCTCTGAGTCAGAGAGAAAATGATAAGTTCACGCAAAAGTATGTGGAATAGATGACCTTTTGCCTCGGGATGCTGGTTAAAAGTTACTACCAGTATTGTTGGGAATTCAAGATTTTTTGCTCTATACGCTGTGTTTGTGTGTTAGCACACTAGTGAAGGTTGTCACACTGGTGACGGGTTGCCAGCATCTTTCCGTTGGTTCTTAACGTTTTCCCTGACCATCTCCTCTAGGGGTTTGTGACATCTGGGATGGAGCTCATTGAACTCTGTCAGAGCCTCCTGCCCTGGGACTCAGGGAGGCAGGCCCGGCTCACTGCTGGGAGCTGCCATGTTTATCAGTTGTTGTTCCTGTTCATCTTGACTTTGGTGGTTAACTTTGTTTACAGTTAGGCTCAGTCTGTCTCCTCCCACATGTGTAATTATATGAAGTTTGACTTAAAATAATCTATTTTGGAATTAAATAGAAAATAAGTTTAAGGTCCTAGGTTGGATATATTTTGAAGCTGCCCTATTGTGACTTGCTTTGAATTTGGTGAAGTCCATCGTGGCTCCAGTGGTGATGTTTTCTTTGCCATTGTAGTTTCTGCCGCTTCTGAGCTTGGCAAAGGCCCAGGGACATAGGATTCTAGGATGGGGTGACTCTTAGTGCCCTTTCATGGATGGCAGGACGTAGTGCTTCTATCAGGATTTGAGACTAGGTTTATTGGCGGGGAGGAGGGGAGTCTGTACCTGGTAGGTAGCTCTCTATTCGGAGAAGGCAGTGGCACCCCACTCCAGTACTCTTGCCTGCAAAATCCCATGGGCAGAGGAGCCTGATGGGCTCCAGTCCATGGGGTCGCTAAGAGTCAGACACGACTGAGCGACTTCACTTTCACTTTTCACTTTCATGCATTGGAGAAGGAAATGGCAGCCCACTCCAGTGTTCTTGCCTGGAGGATCCCAGGGACCGGGGAGCCTGGTGGGCTGCTGTCTCTGGGGTCGCACAGAATCAGACACGACTGAAGCGACTTAGCAGCAGCAGCAGCTCTCTATTACCGTGAACCACAGGCACAGATGACCCTGGTCAGCTGAGTGTCTCACTCGTTCTGTTCCTGAGGTGTTGCTCCTGAGCACCCACTGGGGTGGTGGGGTGGGGCCTGGGACCGTGTGACATTATGGTTTAGGAAGAGTTTCCCTCTCACTTCCCACTCCTAATATACCCATCGAAATGATAGTGTGCTGTAAAGACCATTAGACCAAGACTGAGCTTTTAGGTTCTGATTCCTACTCCATCACTAATCTGCTTATGAGACTTGAGAACCCAGTTATTGATAGGATAAAGCAGTGACAGTCTTGGGAAACTTTTCTTTTTAAAGCTGTCACCTATTGCCATTTTATAGTGTCCTTTTAATGTGAATTGTTTGGTAGGCTGTGGAGTGTTGTAGTTTTCATGTTAATATGGCAGACAATGAGTACTCTTAGTTTCCTAATTTAAGTTTTTAATGAGCAAATTGAGAAAGAGATGAAGAGGCTAGTCAACAAGTCCTATCCCCTCCTGGCCACTGCCATGAAAGTTATCAACAGAAAAATAAGTTGTTCTTCCTGGAAACTGCAGGATTTATGGTCCGACTCCTGAGGCTTCAAGCAGCCAAAGTTATAAGCTTCTTTAGGACTTAAAAGAGGCCTGCAATCTGTGCTCCTTCCTTTCCTTGCGCTCCTGACCCCTTCAGTGTGATAGCTGATTTATCCACTTGAGACTCGTCCCATTTGGCCATGGATCTCCTGTGTGGACACTTCGCCCTTCCCATCCGTGGTCATCCTTTGAGTAGGTTTTTGGGATGAAGCCGAGTGCTGACAGCCTCTTGCCCTTCTTGAGCATTGGCTGAACGTGGTGGGTCATTCTGGCCTCCACCTGTCGTGGTTGGACAGAGCAGCCCCTGTGAGGAAGCGTGTCAGCTGCTGTTGTCTGAGCAGGTTTAGGGCCTTTCTATTTCCACTCCTTTGCTTTCCCGTCTCTTGTGCGTTGTCTGTGGCTCTTAGTTGCCACGGTTTTCGCGGTCTGTCTGTTCATGATCACCCTCCTTTTGTGAGGTGGTGTGTGTTTGTGTGTGTGGCATTCCTGGTGACAGGTCCCTCTGGAATTGGCTTTTGGGTTTATTTTTGGCTCCTACTCAGGCCAGTATTTCCATGGGGAAAGCTATTTAGGTGTAGCATCATAGCGTGTGAGATTTGCTTGCCTCACTGGTCCAGTGCTGGACCCATTAAAAGCGATTGTTCTTAGTGATGTAATAGGAAGAAGTTACGTAAGGTTAACCAAGGTGCAGGACTGAGTGCATCTAATTGCATTTTATTCAGGTAGGATCACGGCGCTGTGGCATCTCACCACTATTCTGTGATTTTAATCTTTGTCGGCTTCTGGTTTCTAACTCCTAGGCCTCAGTGTTCCTGGTTTCTCTGTCTGGCCCACCGCCTGACTCAAGGGCACTTTGACCAGATGAGGGACATGTGTTTGCGTCCTGTGATTGGAAGTAAAAACTCTTGGGTGCTCTTGCTGGCTGTCACCTACTCTGAATGACCTTGGCCTCGTCACTGCCTCCTTTTCTCTGTCTTTCTAGCCACTGAACTGAGCCTGCACAAGTGGAATAACCAGAAGCTTAGCTGGGTGGTGCCCCGAGCAGCCTCTTGGCTGTTGGCAGACACTATCTTGATGTCCATCAGACAGGGCCAGCTCCGCCCCTTCAGGAGATCACGTCCATGTGTCACAGGGTGATGCTTCTCCACAGAGAAGCCAGAGGTGCGGTTTTTTCCAGTGTTGTAGGAATTCCTGTTTGGTGATGTTGCAGCTTATGACCTGGTGGATTACACCTTTGACTTCTTCTTTAAGCCTCTTCTATAAATACTCATGATCTTCACTCTTCTGTTACTTCATAAGAAAACAGTAACACCTGGCAAAGTCTACCAGCCTCCAGGAGGGGGATGGAATGAATGTGTGTGTAGGTATATATATCTTCCAGAATCTAGGGGCAGCTGTTGAAATACCCAAAAGACAGGAAATGAGATTATGAATTACAAGGATGGCAGAGTATTGCTTTTGTATGTAAAGATTACATAATGCCTGTTCTTATTGTGTTACTATGTGCTGGGCACTCGATAAGTGCTTTATGTGTATTGCTCACTTATGTGTACAACATCCCTGGGAATTAGGTACTATTATTATTATTTTAGAGGAGGAAGCCGAGGAACAGAATAGTTGTGTAACTTATCCAGTCACACCGATAATAGCGGAGGAACCCAAATACAAGTGGAGGTAAATATAGTTTGCCGTCACCTGAAGTTTCATAGGTTGTTACTAGAGTCGAGTACCCCCATCAAACATGATTCACTAGCCCTGTGGTTGGCATTAATCATCCAGTCTTTTCACACTTGGATGTCCTGGTGGAGTGGGAGGGAACCACAGGCGAGGGGAAAGGGCAGGGTGTTGGGATGGGGGGAAGGTGGACCAGTGACCACAAGGGAGGCCATCTTGGCCAAGAGCAGAAGTGGGGGGGGAAACACCCTGTTTGCGCTACAGGCTGCTTCCTGCCTATATCTGTCATTCATTCCCTAGCCCCGTGGTCATTATCCGAACAACTGTCAGAAGACACTTTATTTCTAGAGAACCTTTGAGTACACCTAGGTGTTGAGTGAAAGAAACCTATGCAAGTCTGATTCCCTGCCTGCAGGTAACTGGCCTTCCTGTGTTGTATTAGACAAGGGCGGTGTCAGGAAATCCAGCTTGACCTCCTGCCCCGACTCGCTGCCATCTGCCATCGTCACCTTCCCCCTGGGAGTGCTGCTGAGTCACCAGTCAGGTTCAGGGGACTCCTTCAGCCTCTCCTCCTGGGTCCAGCCCCTTCCCCTGTCAAGCTGACTCTGCTCCCCACCTGTTTTTGCTTTAGGACTCTAAAGGTCTTCTGGTGCTTTCCCCATCCCTGGAGTTGAATTTACGGTGATTTCGGTGATGAGCGGGTTCTCTTTTAAAGAGCCTTAACATTTGGAAGACTTAATCTGTGCTCCTGTTCTGATTGAAAGAAGCTTTCGGAGTTTGCTGCCCAGATCGGAGTGGGAAGATGCTCAAGGGGGAGGAAATGGCCAGCAGGACCGTTTCCAGAGTGCTTTTCACTTTACACGATGCTGTCACTCACTGCTGTCACTCTTGTCGACTAGCAGTTTGGTGTTTTTAACCGTAGCTCCTCCCTGAGGCCCCAGGGGCCCGGGGGCTGGATGCCAAGCCCTGAGAAGGACGAGGTTTTCATGCTCCTGAGCCCACAGTGGCAACTCTGACTGAGCTGGAACACACGTTCAGAACTGCTTCTCTCCCTGACGTTTCTGCCAGCCTCAGGGGGCTCTATTAGGAGCCACCTGACACGTGTGGTTACCAACAGCGAAGAGCAAAACGCTTACTGGAATTTTTTGTAGTTCAGAATAGAACTGAATCATGTTAGTGGATGACCCTCTGAATGTATCTACTTCAAGGTTATTTGCCCATGTTTTGCTCTTCAGCTACACCCTGTGGTTGAGGGTTTCATGTCCTTCGACCCAGGCTGACTGTGTTGAATGGATCTCTTGGTCCGTTGGGTCCGCAGGTCCACTGTGTTCTTCTGAAGCAGGATTGTGAAAACATTTTATGATTTAAACATTGAGGCAAATGATACGCTGTTCAGAGGGGTTCAGCTCAGCAGTAAGTCCTGGGATGTGTGTCCTTTGGGGGTTAAATCTAGTTGACTGGTTGAGGGGTTTTTGGTGTGTTTGCATATTTTGAAAGACTGAAACATCTTATTTTCTGCAGCAAGATGAAAGGAACTAGACACCAGATCACTTATGGTTTAAATTGATAGCATAGCTATATCTGGTAAAAATTCATTCTGACTGTGACAATCTGAGCAATTAAAAAAATTTAAGATACTGAGTAGTGCTTTAAAAAAAAAAAAAAAAAAACAAACAACCGCAGTCAATCCTATTCAACAATAAAATGAAAACCCCCAGCTCCTGAAGAGATTTCCTGCAGTCTGAAGAGTATTCTTCATTTGCATCCTGCAAGTGAGAGCTGGTTCTTCACACTCAGCAGCTCTGATGAGGTTCTTCCTCCTAGCTTTAATTTTAATCCTTCTTTGTGGGAGATGCTGCTGTGATGAGGGCTCGCGGAGCTGCCTTGACAGGCATGTCCACGGGACTATACTTACTGGCCCCCTAAGTGCAGGTGGGAAGGAAGACACACAAATCTGTGTCTGTTGTGTGGCTTCCGGGAGCATCAGGACCTGACATACTCCGGGCTGAAAGCAGCTCTGACTGTTTAATTACTTGAGGGAGTTTGAGGGCCCTGAAGGCCGATGATGTCATCTTCAGGACAAGGGAGAAAAGGCATCTCGCCCTTCCCCAGCGTGCTTTGGGGGCACCCAGCACCCTCGGGTGAGAAGGGGTGTCTGCCTGCAATTCCCCTGACCGGAGCACCCTGAAGCCTTTCTCCTTCTGGCCTCCCACTGAAGGGTGTGAGCAGCTCTTCCAGAGGTCACAAAGGCCTGGGGACCCCTGGTCACTGCGCTTCCAACTTTATCTCCGTGCCTGCCCTGCTGACCCGCCGACCTTGTCAGTATGGGCCGTCATCACCCTCTTAGTGGAAACTCTCTTCCATTGAGTTCCGCTCTCCTGGCTGCAGTGAATTTTTCTCTTCTACCTTCTTCCCTCTTAGGAAGTTTTGGAGAGTGCCCTCTCCCCTGGGCTTTTCTTCAGCGCTCACCGGCCTGCCGCGCTGTGTGCTGTGCTTAGTCGTCTGGGACTCTGGGACGCCGGGGCCTGTAGCCCGCCAGGCTCCTCTGTCCATGGGGGCTCTCCAGACAAGAATACTGGAGTGGGTTGCCATGCCCTCCTCTCGTGGCTGTTCCCCAGCCAGGGGTCGAACCCAGGTCTCCCACACTGCAGGCGGATTCATCTTCACCGTCTGAGCCACCGCGGAAGGCCTGCTGGTACCTGCATGTTGGTCCTTACCCGCGCGTTCCCAGCTGCCTCCTTGATGTCTCCATCCTGTCATCTAGAACCTCCGACTTTGCAAGTGTTAACTGCCCTCTCCACCCGCAAGTCTGGGGAATTTTAAACATTTCTTTCCCCAACTTTTTATTATGAGACAGTTTTAAACATACAGAGGAGTTGAATGACTAGGCCAGTGATTACTAATTACCAGCCACCGTGAGTCAGCAGTTAACCTCGTGCCAAGTTTGCTTTATCTGTGTCTGTAAGAGTATGTAAATACGATTCCTCCAGAGCCCCTGGTGAGTCAGGAGCAGACGCCACAACGCTCACCTCCAGGTACTCAAGTGTACATCTTCGAAACATCAGAACATTTGGGATCATTTAAAATTCTCCTTTTGGGGGCTCCCATTCTGACCCTTTTCCCTGTTATAAATAATGCTGCTGGGAAAATGGATGTACCGCTATCTCTTTGAGATCCTGTTTTTCAGTTCTTTTGGTTATATACCCAGAAGTGGAATTGCTGGATCATATGGTAATCCTATTTTTACTTTTTTGAGGAGCTGCCGAACTGTTTTTCCATTGCAGCGATACCATTTTACATTCCCATCAACAGGGCACAAGGGTTCCAATTTCTCCACACCCTACACTTGTGATTTATATTTACTTTTTTTTGATAGTAGCCATCGTGCTGAGTGTGAGGTGATACCTCATTGTAGTTATGATTTGCATTTCTCTAACGATTAGATTAGCGGTGTTGGGCACCTTTTCATGTGCTTATTGATCACCTGTGTGTCTTCTTTGAAGAAACATTTATTCAGGTCATCTGCCCATCTTTGACTTGAATTGTTTTCTGTTGTGCTGAGTTTTAGGGGTTCCCTGGTAGCTCAGTCAGTGAAGAATCTGCCTGCAATTTCGGACACCTGGGTTCGATTCCTGGGTCAGGAAGATCCCCTGGAGAGGGAAATGGCAATCCACTCCAGTATTCTTGCCTGGAGAATTTCATGGACAGAGGAGCCTAGCGGGCTACAGTCCACGGAGTCGCAAAGAGTCGGACATGACTTAGCGACTAAACCACCACTCTATATTCTGGATATTAATCCTTCATCAGATACCTGATTGCAGGTATGTTCTCTCTTCGCGGGTGTTGCATTTTACTCTCTCGGCAGTCTTTTGGTGCATAAAACTTGTTTTAATTTCTCTGAAGTCCGAATTGCCTGTTCTGTTTGCTTTTGTTGCCTGTGCCTTTGGTGCCAGGCCCCCGTTCTCATCTGCCGCCAGACCTTTGTTGGGAATGCCCCTGGCCTGCACTGGTTCGCGCGCTGACTGCCCCAGCCCGGACGCGCCTCCTGGCCGCCGGACGCCTTTCCAGCCCAGCATGTAGGCTGACCTCCCGGATGAGGCCTCCAGCCCTGCCTCGCTCGTCTTCAGGGCTCCTCACCTCCTTTCACACAGTCTTCTGCCCCTGGGTTGGACCCCCGGTCACCTGTGCTGTTGCCTGCGTCTCACACCCTGTGGCACTCAGACGACACACTCAAGTTTCTCTCCCCGGGTGGGGTGCTTCTTGAGAAACAGGGCTTTCTGTGGAAGCTTACATTCCGAATGACTCACACGTTGGAGTGAGTAACTCCTTCAATTAAAAATGGATCTAACCACCCTGTTTACCTGTGGGGCTGGGGGGAGCGGGGAGAGCATGGTAAATGATCCCCAGTCACACCTGCGAAAGCTGCCTGCGTGGAATCAGCTGGCTCCTGTTAACGCAGGTTCTTCTGACACAGTCAGACGGGGGTGGGCGGGCCCGAGGACCTGGAGGTGGAGTATCCTCCCTGTGACGCAGAGTCTGCTGGTTGGAACTAACTACCCTTTGAGTTGGGCTGATGAAGCGACTTAGCAGCAGCATCAGGAGCATAGGTGCTTAAAAACCTGTTGCAGTAGATTCCGTTTTTTAATCTACCCCGCACCCCACGTTTTAAGTGTCTATATATCTGATTTAGGGGTCTTGTGTCCCCTCTGCTTAGTCTTCTAGGAGCAGTGTTGATGCCTGAGATTGGCAAAAGGTGGGCCACAGGACAGAAGGAGCATTGAGTTGCCCTCGATAAGCAAGCAGTGCTTTCAGGTCCTAGTAGCAAAAAACCTGTTTTCTTCCCCGTCTACCCTTTGCCTGGGCTTCCCTGGTAGCTCAGACAGTAAAGAATCCTCCAGCCACTGCAGGAGACCTGGGTTTGATCCCTGCATTCGGGAAGATCCCCTGGAGAAGGGAATGGCAACCCACTCCTGTATTCTTGCCTGGAGAATCACATGGACAGAAGGGCCTGGCGGGCTGCAGTCCCTGGGTCTCAGAGTCAGACGCGACTGAGGGACGAAGCGCACACACAACTCCCTCTTGCCTACTGACTAGTGTTAATACGCGGCTGTCGCTAAGACGTGTCGTTGGATTTAATTTCTTTTAAGGGTGAAAATATATGACAGTTGTTGTGAGTAGAATGCAACCAGTCTAAGAGGAAAAGGGCTGAAATTGCTTTCTTGTGTCCGGCCCGTATCCATGGATTGCCGGCTGTGTGCCAGGCAGTGTCATGATGTGAGCTTTGAATGTGTCATCTTTCTCTTTCCCTAAAGTGGCAGAGACCTGGGTTTCCCAAGGGCTCAAGCAGGTGATGCCCCTCCCGTAATAGCACCAGGGACTGAGGGTAAGGACTTTCAGTCTTGGTTGTGCTGTGTCTTGGGTGCCTGGAAGCGTCCACGTGAAGAGAGATACCTGCCGTGGAAATGCGTATTCATTCTGTCCCCATCTTCTTTTGGGGGGGGGGGAGGGGATTCTTTTTTTTTTTTCCCATTTATTTTTATTAGGTCCCCATCTTCTTATATTCTTAGCATTGTCCTATTTCATGTCTGCGTTTAAAAAATAAACTCTCTTGAGGTTTATAGGAAAGTTCAAGGATCATGGTATATACCCTTCTCCTAGATTCCCCCGAGGTTGACATCTTATGTAATATGGTACATTTGTCAAAAGCAAGAAGTTAGTCCTGGTTCCACACCATTAACTGAAATGCACACTTTTGCTTGGATTAGTTTTCCACTCATGTCCTCCTTTTGTTCTAGGATCTAAACCTACAACTCTACATTGCACTTAGCATAATTGCCTTTTGAATGTTGGAAAAACCATTCTAATTGCTCTTTATCTAATCCACATTTCATCCTTTGCCCTGAGAGTCATTGTACTCAACAGCTTTTGCTCAACAGCTTTTGATGCTGGAGAGAAGGGGTCAGGCTCTCTAGAAGGAGACAGTTGGAAGCCGCACGTAACTGTGGAGGGCGCCAGAGGAGAGCAGAGGGCGGCGGCGGGTGGACGGGTGAAGGCGAGGGCGTGGGAGTGTGGCATCCAGGTCGGGCGTGCGGGGAGGGTGCAGGCTCAGAGGCCCCTGGTCAGTCTCTCTGATCATCACTGAAGAAAAATCGGTGGGGTTGTTCTCTTATTTGTCTTAGATGGATAGTTTTGTTTTGTTTTTTCCTGATTGCTCAAGTTATTTTGAGTTACTTATACATAGTACACAGTTGCAAGAACATACAAAAAATTGGTTTAAAAATAATCACCTATAATTCCACCAGTGAGGTATAACTGCCGCTTGTCATTGCAGTGGATGGTTATTCTAGTCTTCTATGAGCGTATCAATATTTATTTACAAAAGTACACACTGCTTAATCCCAGCCCCACACCATTTAGCAAACTTAAAGTGGGCCGTGTAAATGGACCATTTGCACGTGTCCAGGGGAGTTCAAGTTTGCAGTACTTGTGTATTTCCACAGAACAGTGGAAGCTTTAAACCGAGAGAATCGTCTTCTCTTTGCTGGTCAGTGTTCTGGAACACACCATTCCCACGACAGGCAGTGTCGTCTGCATGGAAACCTGGTCACATTTGTTGCTGGGCAGGCCACCCCACCTGCTTTGATGTACACTGATTCTCTTGGGCTCGAACCTAAAGACTTACTCCCAGGTTGTATTTTATGAAGTGAATTTTAAAAATTTGTTTATTTAATTTTTCGCTGCCCTGGGTCTGTTGGCTTTTCTCAAGTTGCGGCGAGGGGCTCCTCTCGTGGCTGTGCGGGGCTTCTCGCTGCAGAGCGCGGGGCTCTGGGTGCACAGACTCGGTACTTGGGGCGCACGGGCTTTGCTGCCTCACGGCACGTGGGATCTTCCTGCACCAGAGACCAAACCCGTGTCCCCAGCATCGGCAGGCGGATTCTGATCCACTGAGCCACCAAGACAGTCCCTGGATGGTATTTTAGAAACACCACCAGTGACCTTGCTTCAGCCTTGGGCTCTCAGTTCTGAACCTTCTGTGGAATCCACGCTGGTGCGCTGTGGGCACCTCACAGGGGCTTGTTCAGCCCTTCAGGGCCCTCTCCACTGTTGACCAGCTCATCCCGTAAACTGCTCTCGAGATGCTCTTCCCCATGCTTTTTATGCATTCTCTTTTATTAGAATTGTTGCCCATACCGTGGGGCCTTCATACTCTCCCAAGTTGGGTGTTCAGAGGCAGATATGTTTCTTTTTGGTAACATTTTCATTTCACAAAAAATCTTTGATAGCATGATTCTTAGTGTCCATAATTCCATCCGATGGATGAGCCTGTTTCTCTGATCAGTCTCTTTCAGCCAGCTAAATTGTTGTCAGGCTTTCAGTTTTAAATGATGGGACTAACATCTTGTACTTTTTCTCTATCTTGGTCTACCTCTGTAAGTTTCTTAGGTTAAATTCCTAAACGAAATTACTGGTCAAGGGGTAGAAATACCTTTTTAAGACTTGATTCATTTTACTACGCTGTCCTCCCCGCAAGTGGTCTCCCCTAACACTTCCATCTTAGAATGCCTGTTTCCCAGTGTGATGCTGAAGCCTTTTGTGACTTAGGCAGGAGTACCCAGCTAGTTGGCAGCATCTAGAGGACTGGAGCTCAAGTCAGCTGACTCTGCCCCGGTTGCCAAGAAATAAGCCCTTCATGTGCCAGGAGTTGGCCCTGAGCTCTGCGGGCCGGGCAGGCTGGTCTGTCGTGCCTTCAGCTCACGGCGAGCATTTTCCCCAGGCAGAGGGCTGGACGAGGGGGCAGTGAGTAAGGCGGGGGTGCAGGAAGCGCTCCCTGGGTCTTGGAGTCGGCATGGAGACCTGTGATGGCTCCATGTCCACAGCTCGCTCCGTAGACAGAATCTTGGACGGCTTCTGGGACTGGACAAGATCACCCTGAGCACCACTCAGCATAGAGCTGGCTAGCAGCTGCCACTACCGGGGAGTCGTTTAGCTCCGCTTCAGTTTCCTGGTCATGTTTGGGAGCCCACACCGTAAATATGATTGCAGGTCCGAGGGGGGATGTTGCTAATTAGCTTGCCTGCCCTTTAAATTGAAATCTTAATGCTCTTGTGTGTGTGTTTAAATAGATAATATATGCAGATGGAACAACATTCAAAATGCTTAAAGAGGATGTCGTGAAATGTTTGTTTCCTTCCTAACATTTTTTCTCCTCAGAGACCATCACTGTGACCAGATATAGTCTGTTCTAAGCATATATATTTACCAAGACTAGGCATATATTAACACCCCACTTAAAATTTCTCTGTGATGGTTCTGCAGCAAGACGGAATTAATTTTTTTTTCTTTTTTCAATGTTTATTTATTTGGCTACATGGGGTCTTAGTTGTGGCATGTGTGAACTAGTTCCCTGACCAGGGATTGAACCCAAGCCCCCTATATTGGGAGCTTGGAGTCTTAGCCACTGGACCACCAAGGAGGTCCCTAATTAAATTTTTAAAACTATTTGCTACTTCTTCCTCCCTGCCCCCGTGTTTTATTGAGATCTAATTGACATACAACTTTGTATAAGTTGAAGGTATACAGCATAACTTAATATATGACTTAAATATATCATGACATGATAATCAGAATAAGTTTAGTGAATATCCATAGTCTCATAGATAAAAAATAAAACAAATTGTTTTCCTTGTGGTGAAAACCCTTCGGATTCACTCTCAACTCTCATATATAACATAGAGCATGTTAATCACATTTGTCATGGTGCCCATTATGTCTGTAGTACTTACCTTACAACCGCCAGTTTGTGCCTTTGACCACCTTCCTCCAGCTCCCCCTCCTGATTTGCGCCGGGTAACCACAGACCTCCTCTCTCTCTCTGTGAGTTTGTTCTTGAAGTGTGTTTGACCTCCAGTGCTGGCAGTTGCTGGTACACAACATAGGGCTTCAGGACTTTTGTGCGTTTCAAAATGGTCTCTGCTCTTGTCTGCCTGTTCTGACATGCATGTATGTGTATTTTCCTCCGCCCCGCCCTCTTTTTTTTTGTTAAACACGATGGCTTTCTGGACGGCTGTCTGCATTTGCCAGGTCGTACTCCAGGCCAGCCTGGGTGGGCTTTGCCCTCTCTCTCTGTTAGCTTTGTGACATTGAGTGATGGACTTCAAGTGTCCCATCCCTGGCCTGTCCTTCCCCACTTTCTCTCTGCACAGGCAGCGTGCCATGTTGAGTTGGGCGCCACATAGGGAGAGACCACTGAGCTGTTGGGGGCGGCGGGACCAGCGTTTATTTTCTCTTGGCACCCGCCCCCAAGCCCTCTGTCTGGGGTCTTCTCAGTAGCCAGAGGCGCCACTGATATGGGTGGGGGCTGTTGGCAGTACTTGAATGAAAAGACCTTTGGCGGAGCCTGGGATGGGCGGGGTGAGGAGCAGGGGAGGGGAATGATAGTGGTGGTTTGGTTTGGTTTTCTTTTTTCTTTTCAAGTTTAAAGGAAGAAGCATTCCCAGAAACTTCCTAGTGCCTTTTGTCTCCACTCTTGGCATTTTGCTCACATGGTGTGAACGTTNACAATATTTCCTCAAACATAAGACACCATTGATTTCAAGATGAATCATTATTTATGTACCACTAGGAGAGAAAAAAAATGCTGCCAATTTTCACTGCAAAATGCCAATTATAACATTGTCATTTGAGATGCAGATAATGTGCATCAGACATTTGATGAAACATATTTTAACTCAATCCCATAAAGTTGTATGTATTTTATGTGGGATGTATTATTACTCCCTCCATATTGGGGCTTTCCAGGTGGCTCTAGTGGTAAAGAACCTGTCTGCCAATGCAGGTGTGTAAGGGATGTGAGTTCAATTTCTGGGTTGGGAAGATCCCTTGGAGGAGGGCATGACAACCCACTCCAGTACTCTTGCCTGGAGAATCCCATGGACAGAGGAGCCTGGCGGGCTACAGTCCATGGGGTCGCCAAGAGTTGGATATGATGAAGCAAGCTGCTTAGCTCGCATACCATAAAATTCACTCTTTTAAGGAAGACAATTCAAATGGTTTTTAGTATATTCAGAGGTTTGTACACCCACCATTACAGTCTAAATTTAGAACACTTTCATCACCCCCAGGAAAGAAACCCTATACCTGCCAGCAGTTACACCACATTCCCCAGTCCTCTCAACCCCTGGTAATAACCACTTTCTGTCATTGTGGGTTTGTTTGTTCTGGACGTTTCATATAGTTGGAAACATAAGGAGTTAGCCTTCTGTGTCTGACTTCTTTCCCTTAGCCTGTTTCCACGTTTCTTCATGTTGTAGCACGTAACTGCATGCGTGCTCAGTCATGTCTGACTCTTTACAGCCCCATGGCCTGCAGCCGGCCAGGCTTCTCTGTCTGTGGGACTCCCAAGGCAGGAATACTCAGAGTGGGCTGCGGTTTCCTTCTCCAGGAGATCTTCCTGACGTCGGGATCAAACCCACGTCTCCTGCATTGGGAGGCAGATTCTTGACCAGGGAGGCGCCTGGCGACAGCAGAGAACAGTGCTTCCTTCCTGTTTCTGGCCGGGTGGTCGGCCGCTGGGGGCTCCCCTGGGGGCTTGTTGGTATCAGTCTTCGGATGGTAGCCATCCTAGAGGGTATGCAGTGCTATCACATTATGGGGCCGTGTGCATTATGACTCATGATGCTGAGTGCCTTTTCATTATGTGTTTTCATATATGTATTTTCTTGGGAGACACGTCTATTGAGATACATCCTTTGCCTGTTTTTTTAGCTCGGGCGATGTGCTGACTTGCCTCTGAGACCCTGCACTTGGGTCTTGTCTGTCCTTTAGACCCTGGCAGGTGGGCCCCCTCCTGTGGTCGGTGCCCTGTCTGTGTCCCTGGGGTCTGTGCCAGGTGTCTTGCTTTACGCTGGGCTCTAGCTTCCTTTCCTGTTTGAATAGCTTTAGGGGATTTGAGGCCCTCAGTTGACGGAAAGGTCTTTAGGTTCTGCATCTTCCCAAGAGCAGAGTTCCGAAGGCTGTGCCTCCGGCGCCCCACAGTGACTCTAGGATGAGAACGAGGCTGTCGAACGGGCTTCTCGGACAGCAGGGCAGCCTCTCACATATGTTCCAGTCGCTTGAAATATGCATAGTATGCCATTTACATTGAAGGTTTCCAAAGGCATAGACTATACTGTCTTTTTTTTCCCCCTCGACTCTCGTAGTACAGATTGTAATATTTCTTATGCAGTAAGTGATGAAATGGGGTTCTCCAGGTAAAGAATCCATCTGCCAATGCAGGAGACGCAGGTTTGATCGCTGCATCGGGAAGATCTCCTTCCTGGAAAAGGAAATGGCAGCCCACTCCAGTATTCTTGCTTAGAGAATTCCATGGACAGAGGAGCCTGGCGGGGCTACAGTCCATGGGGTCGCAGAGTCAGACACAACTCAGCAAATAAACAATAGCAACAGTGGTGATGAAATGCTTGTTGCTTGACATGAATGTGCTTTGGCCATAGTCGTTTCTGGAGCCATTTGGCAGGTGGCCATGCCGAGACGGTGCGAAGATGCCTGTGTGTGACACGGGGCTTTGTCTGCAGAGACCCTGGGCTTTCCGAGTGTGTCTTGGCCGCCACCGCTTCACAGATCCTCCCTCCTCAAGCAGCATGGCTGGCTGCCGAGGGGCACATGTGCTGCTATTTATGCCCTGCGACTTTCTCAGTGGTTGTTTGAGGTTAGCATGTAAGAGTCTGATTTCATTCTGTAAGTGTGTGAAGTGTTGATTGCCCGCGCCTGTTGCCTGACAGTGACTGCAAGTCCTTCCCTCCCAGAGCCCAGCTTTGTCCTGGATCAGTTCTGATTGGAAATCACAGCCATCTGTGGAATTTAAAGTTTCTTTGACATTTGAAACAAATGCTGTTTGTAGGAGCAGACAGGTGGCCCTTTCAGAGCACCGAGGGAGTTTGAAGTGGAGTTGTGCTTTCTCTTCCTGTCCCCCCATTCCGAATCTTGGAGTTGCCAGTACTGGAAGAGCCCATCAGAAATGCCCTGGTGTCTAGTAGATAGTGTGCACATACTTGCAGGTGAGTGTTGAAACTGAAGATTTCTAATTTGAGTTTGTGATTTATTGTTTTTGTTGACACGTTACCATCTCTTCATCTTCACATACGTCCCATTGTTGTTGTTGTTGTTGTTCAGTCTCTAACGCATGTCCGACTCTGTGACCCCACGAACTACAGCGGGCCAGGTTTCCCTGTCCTTCACTCTCTCCCGGAGTTTGCTCAAGCTCGTGTCCGTTGAGTCGGTGATGCCATCTAACCATCTCATCCTCTGCCACCCTCTTCTCCTGCCTTCAGTCTTTTCTAGCATCAGGGTCTTTTCCAGTGAGTTACTTCTTTGCATCAGGTTGCCAAAGTATTGGAGCTTCAACTTCAGCATCAGTCCTTCCAATGAATATTCAGGGTTGATTTCTTTAGAACTGTAAAAGTGAAAGTGTTAGTCGCTCAGTTGTGTCTGACTTTTGAGACCCCATGGACTGTAGCCTGCCGGGCTCCTCTGTCCATGAAATTCTCCAGGCAATAATACTGGAGTGAGTAGCCATTCCTTTTTCCAGGAGATCTTCTCAGCCCAGGGATCAACCCTGGCTCTCCCCCATTGCAGGCAGATTCTTTACCATCTGAGCCCCCAAGGAAGCCCTTTAGGGCTGTGGTTGTGTGTAAATACTTTGCAGAATTCAGGTTAAGGAGCTCTGGTTGACATGGTATGCTTGGGTTAACACGGGTGATTGAACACATTAGTTTATTTCCACTTCCTCCAGAAACCCTTCTAAAATGACAGTAAAAGAATTTTTAAAATGTCTAAACCCACGAGGACCAAGAATAGGAGAGAAGACATAAGACAGGAGGCTTCAAGCTGTGGAAGATGGACAGTGGAAGGCGGCAGAGCAGGAACTGAAATGTTGGTGCCACAGAGGCCTGCCCAGGGGGGGCAGTATGGAAGCCTGGGGTCCTCAGTGCCGAGACTGCGTCTGGGCCTGAAGACGGGGCGATTCGCTGAGAGTCTCCGTGGGAAGAAACGAAGCTCCCCGAGTTACCTGTCTGCTTGTGCCAACCAGAGAATACTTATCTCCTCTGCCCACAAGAGCAGAGGCTGATGCTCTGGAGAAATCCTCAAACCAGGCACTCTGGACGAGGCACCTCAGGTGGAGCAAAGTGGGCAGCCAAACCCTGAAAGCGGATTCAGGGCAGTCTGTCCAGTTGAGGGGAAATCCCAGAGCCCGAGGCCAGGCAGGGACCGGGGTTGGAGGACTCCCCTCTGGAAGAAGAAACAGTGTCAGACCTGTGGTTGCTAGCGTCTGGCAGGCCCTCAAAGCAGAAGCTGGGTGCTTAAGCTAATACCCTCAGTACAAGTCCGGAGGCTTGCTTGTGTGCACAGAGCTTCCATCATCTTTTTATTGCCTCAGCTTTTAGATTTTTTTATTTTGAAATAAATGTAGATCCCTAAGAAGTTGCAAAAAATGGTACAGAGAGGTCCCCTGCACCGTCCATCCAGTTTGCCCCAGTGGTTACATCGTACGTAACACGGACAGTATCAAAACCAGGAAGTTGACATGTCCCAGATGCTTGTGTTTGTAGCTTCACGTAACCACCATCGCAGCCAAGGTACGGGCCTGCTCCATCATCACAGACAATTCCCTGATGACTCATGGACAGCAGGGATCGCTGCCTGTTTTCCTAAGGTCCCCTGCACGAAGGGTAGAGGCCAGAACAAGCAGAGAGAAAGATACATCAGAGGATACAGCCAATAACTGCAAACAGAAAAACCCTCAAAACATATAGCGAATAGCCTCAGAGAAATAAGAGTCAGTATTTTGTCAATGAAATAAAACAAGATGCTGTAAAAGTCAGAAGAGGAAATAATTCTTAGAAATTAAAAACACAACATTAGAAGGAAAAAAAGTGTTGACAAAGACTCCCAGGAAATAGAACATCTGACATCTAGGCAATCTGTCAAGAGAGGGAAAACAAAGGGCAGAAATGTATCAAAGAAACAAGAAATGTTTCCAGAATTGGTGGTCACAAGGTTCCAGGGTGGTGAATGGAAAAGTCCTAACTGGCACTTTTGTGTAATTCCAGAACCCTGGGGATAAAGCTTCCAAAGCGATCAAACAGTCACTGAGCAAATTTGGGAATGAAGATGCATCGGATTCTCAACCTCATGGGGAGGCAGAAGGCAGTGGAGTGGGTTTCCAGTCTGACGTGGTAGATCAGGCTGAGGTACGATAGAGCGACTCTTACTGCAGTCACAGAGAAGTGCCATGTAAAATATAACAAAGATTTTAAATATAACTGAACACATGAGAAAGAAATGAAATAACAAGACACAGAATCAAAGAGGGAGCCTCAAACCAGAGTAGGCTGCAGATGTCCTGGCAGCTCTGGGTGGGTCTGTGTGTGTGTCAGTCCCTCAGTCGTAGCTGGCTCTTTGCAACCCCATGGACTGCAGCACACCAGGCTTCCCTGTCCATCACCAACTCCCAACTTGCTCAAAGTCATGTCCATCAAATCGGTGACGCCATCCGACTATCTCATCCTCTGTCGTCCCCTTCTCCTGCTTTCAGTCTTTCCAAGCGTCAGGGTCTTTTCCCGTGACTCAGTTCTTTGCATCAGGTGGCCAGAATACTGGAGCTTCAGCATTAGTCCTTCCAATGAATATTCAGGGTTGATTTCCTTTAGGATTGACTGGTTTGATCTCCTTGCAGTCCAAGGGACTCTCAAGTCTTCTCCAACACCACAGTTCAAAAGCATCAGTATCTTCGGTGCTCAGCTTTCTTTATCATCCAACTTTCACATCTGTACATGACTACTGGAAAAGCCATAGCTTTGACTGTAGGGACCTTCATCGGCAATTCCTACTTCAGGGACCTTCCTTACCCAGAGATTGAACCCACATCTCCTGTGTCTCCTGCATTGCAGGCAGATTCTTTACCCACTGAGCCATCAGGAAAGCCCCAGGGATGTTTACTGGGCCCTGAAACAGGCCCAACAATAATATAACTTTGGATTCTTTTAAAAATGTATAGAACTGAAATAGAAATCCCCATTAAAGGGCTATTAACTGGTAAAAGGGGAAAAAACAGACATGAGAAAATCTCCCCGGTGGAGCCCGAGAAATGATTAGGAAGTTTATCACTGTCCTGCACTCAGGTGCTGAGGGAAGTCTCCTGTGAGCAATCGAAACATCTGCGTTTGAGGTCTGTGTTTATAATCCCTATGTGTTTCAGGAATCCCCAAGCCAGCACCAGACTGGTGATACTCCTGGACCTACTTGCAGAAAGGAAAGCAAAAAGTTTGTAGAATGACCCTTGCACAGCTCAGGCCACCTGGAATCCTACGATTTCCACAAATTATGATCTCATGCCAATAAATTATTAAACATACAGAAATCATAAGCAAGAGTCAGGTGTCACAACAAACAGGAGGATTTCCAACATTTTACAACTTCAGATGATAGAAGAGATTGTAATACAATGTTTAAGGTGATCAAAGGGCTTAAAGAAAGATTAGAAATCAAGAAAAGAATAGGATACAGTACATTTTAAAGAGGCTGGGGTTTTTTTGTTTTTTTATTTAAGGAACCACGTAAAATCTCTATGATAAAAACTCTAGCCATTGCATATAAAACCCAACAGAGATGTTAAACAGCAAAATAGACGTGCCCCAGGAGAGAATTATGTATGAGCCAGAAAAGAGATCTGAAGAAGTTAAGTAGAGTTAGCACAGAGATCCAGGGAGTTGGTGCAGAGGGGAGGACGCGAGGAGGGCCCGGCCGGCTCTGATGGAGTTCCCAGAAGTCTCGGACACATCTTAAAAACAGCTTGAGAGGAAAACAGAGATCGCTCCCGAGGCTCAGCAGTGAAACTCAGCAAGTGTCTACATAGTAACAGGGAGGTCAGACCACGGTAGAAGATACTCTTCACGAGGACGGTAAGACCAGCATGCCATTCTATCGCGAGAACAGAATACAGGCATTGTGGTGGGCGGGGGAGATTCAGGAGAGAGGGGACACGTGTATGCCCATGGCCGATGCATGTTGGTGTGTGGCCGAAACCAACACAATATTGTAACGCAACCATCCTCCAGTTAAAAATACATGAGCATTTTCACAGAAATAGAAACCCAAGTTTATTCACTCACAGACTCTTACTGGACTTGAGGAAGAAGGAAACTAAACCCAGGACAGAGACACAGAGAATGGTATGCAGAGACAGCAGAAACTTGTGGTAGAGCTGAATCACGGTCAGCGAGTAAAACAGCGGTCATTACTGACTTGAGGAGAGTCGGAAACTAAGATCCTGACAAGCGGTCAGTGGAAATGGGGAGAGAGTCATGGGAGTGAACCTGAAGGTCTTTGAACTGTTAGGGGAGAATGGGAGGGCGACTGGTTTCCTCTAGACTTTCCGAGTCAGTCGGACGCGTTAAAACGTTCATGGTAGAAATAGGATCAATAGCCTTCAAACCAATAGAGGGAGAATGTTCGGAATTATAAAAACTAGGTCATTTCACTGGAAAAAAGAGAAAAGAAAAAGTGCGGTAGACAGAAAGTGCTAGAGGTGACGGAAGGACATCCACACGGATCACAGAGAATATAATCAGAGCAACAGCGCCAGGTAACACGGAGTCCCTCAGTTTGGATGAGCAGAGCCCTCGATGCTCTGCGGGAGCATCTCAACCAGCCGGTCACCTGGCAAGCGCTTCTGCCTGGGCCTGCGGGCGCTGGAGACACGTGCTCCCGCGGACCTTCTCCAGAAGCTGATGGGAGGTGTGTGCACCTAGGCCAGCGGGTGTCCTGGGATCCAGGCCACGAGATCCCACCCAGGCAGGCATTGGAGAGGCGGGCTGGAATGGGACAAGAGCCCTCTCCCAGAGCCGTCCTGTCAGTCGGGGGCCCCGGGGGCGGGGTAGAGGGCCGACTCCTGGGCCAGGCCGATGACCACAGTCCACGTGTGATGGGACCCTGCCCTTGAGCAGCGGCTGTTCTAGTTGGAGGAGAAACTCGGATGTTCAGAGGTGGCGGCCAGCAGAGGGTCTCTCGCTGGGCACGCGCGACGGTTATGAGGCTGAAGCCGAGCCCTGCCGCCTGCCCAAGCCGGCATAAGGCTCAGCTGGCAGACTCGGCTGGCCTGTGGGACACCAGCCTCATGGAGGGGGCCGGACCGGAGGCGCTGCCCTGGTTACCTCGCAGGCCGCACCCTTGAGAGCCTCAGACCTGCCTTCGAAGTCTTAAAGAGAGGCCCTTCCCCACCCTGAGGTCCCTCCTTCCAGCCTAGTTCCCTAAGGAGCTGCCACCCTCCATTGCCTGCTTCCTGGGGGGCCAGTGGCTTGGGGGTGCAGCTGAACACTGCCTCTGTCCCCGGCCCAGGTCCCGCGGGTTTCCCCACGGCCAAAGCCGTCTGCTTCCGGGGCAGGGCAGGTGCTGTGGGAGAAGGAAGCAGGGCGGTCAGAGAAGGTCTTCCTGACAGGGTGACGCCCGAGCAGAGACGAGTCAGCTGGCTGGGCACGTGCAAAAGCCGTGACTGTCACCGTGGCGGTGCCTCGTGTGTGACTGCTCGTTGCGCTTCCGTGCCCCCGCCTACTCTACTCTTGGCTCCTCCCGGCCTGATGTTTCGTTAGCACCAGGCACACGCAGCGTCTGGCATCCTTGTAGGTGTGCAGATTGTCGCCGGAGCATGTGGATAGATAAATGGATGGATGGTCCGCGGTCGTGTGAGCAGCCTGTGACAGATGTCAAGGGAAGCCAACCCAGGCTTCTGCAAGGCGGGCTCTGTCCCTGCCGGGCTGCTGGGGGAGGAGGGGTGGGTCTGGAGCCCAGGCCCAAGGAAAGCGGGGTTCACACTGGGTGCCCCGTCGCCTCCTCTCCCTGCGTGGCTCACTGCACAGCTCTGCGCTTCCCCTCCCATTTCAGGGCAGCTCAGACTGACCGGTGAAGTCAGCCCTGCAATTGCTGGGAAAGCATGAGCAGGGGTGGGCAAGAGAGCTGCCGTCCCCGTTACTCACCGCATGCCACTCGTGTCCTGGGGCCTCCATCTCAGAGCCGTCCTGCCGCCTGCTGTCACCCTCGTGTGACTCAGTTAGACCTTGAGAGGATTGTGGCAGGGCGCTTATCCCCATCTTCCTCCACTCAGATTGATGGGGAGCCCTGGATGCAGCCTATGAGAGGTGGGAAGGATTCTTCAGATGCCAGCCTGGGGTCATCTTCTGGTTATTCACATTTCCTGTCCCGCAGCCTGTTGGCCAGTGCTGAGGCCCCGGGGATTAAGAGAGATAAGGACAGCCCCGGTCGGAGGGATGGGCTTTCCTGTGGCACGGTGGTGAAGAATCCACCTGCCAGTGCAAGAGATGCAGGTTTGATCCCTGGGTCAGCAGGATCCTCTGGAGATGGAAATGGCAACCCACTCCGGTATTCTTGCCTGGGAAATCCCATGGAACAGAGGAGCCTGGCAGGGTACAGTCCATGGGAGAGCAAAGAGTTGGACACGCCTGAGCGGCTTAGCATGCATGCAGGTTGGAGAGATAGCAAGGCTGAAATGTTTCTCGTAAAGGGTATATACCGCGTATCCCTGGCAGGTTCCAGCCTTTCTCAGGCAGGGGTGCTGATGCCCCAGGGCATACATCAAAATGTGTTAATCGATGCTGATTGCCACCGTAGTCAGAGATCAGAAAATAGTCAGCTTCTGTGCCCTGAGGGCTCAGATGACGACGACTCTGGAGGAGTTGTGAGCTTGCAGGACCCAGCTGGGTCTCTGGTGCCTCCAGGTGCTTCCTCCTCACCTCGCTCCAGTGCGTGGCGAGTCCTTTCCTTGTTCACAGCCACGCCAGTTACCACACGCTCAGCTCAGAAGCCGGCTGCTCAGTAAGCATTTGTTCTGTTAGAAATCTTTGCTCAGAGGGCAGGCTGCCCCATCCGCCCCTGGTCTAATTCTGGTGACATGGGGTGGCTGAGAAAGGACTGTCGAGGTGGGCGCGGGTGAGCGATGAGGCCAGTCAGCTGCTCCCCAGCGGGGCCAGCCTGTCTGTGGGGCTCCGGGTGGCTGTGCCATGGACCGAGGGCCTCAGGCCGGTTCAGAAGGCCGTCAGCACTTTGGGAGCAGCTGGCTGTGGGACTGTCACTCAGTGATGTGAGGCCCTGGCTCGCTTTCCATCCCGGGGGTCCTCCTCGCTTCCTCCTTGCCTTTCTGTGCCTTGGCCAAAGCTCTTGCTTCCTGGGCAGGGGGTGGGGAGAGAACATGTTTGCAGCCCCTCATCCAGTTTGTGTTGGAAAGATGGAGATTTGGAGTTAAGGAAAGCAGAGGACCACAGTTATTCCGGGGAGAGTCCTGGAAGCTCCTGCCCCCCCCCCCAGGGGAGCATCCCCAGCCTGCCACTGTGGGAACAGGCCCAGCTCTCTGCCGGCCAGCAATGACGTCATCTTGAAGGTGATGTCACTTTTCTGCGGGTTTGAAAGGGGGGAGGTGAAGAGGGAGCAGGAGCATCTGGGAGGCAGGGTCCTGGTGGTCGTCCCTGAGGACCGAACCAGGCAGAGACTGGGCTTCCTGCCAGGGTGGTTCTTTCTCAGACTTGGGGTTCTTACCCGCAAGGAGAGCCGAATTCAATGCACCAGCTCCTGCCTATTCGGTCACCCAGCTCTAAAATCCCCGAGGTTCTTGTGGCCACAATGTGGGGCCCGGACCTGCCTTCCTGCCTGGAGGTCTCCACTGTGGGAAAACCGAGTCCCCCAGGTGTCCAGGGACATGTGTTAGCAGGTTCCGTTCTTTGCCATCTAGGCAGCAGCCGTCTGGTCAGGTCCCAGGGCTCTTGGCCCCCAGGGTCTGGGGCTTTGTTCTTGGCATCTGCCTGGAAGCTGACGGAGGCCAGGGTCTGGACCACCTGAACAGATGTCAGAGTTGGGGCCTCGTCGTTTAGAGAACCTGGTGCCTGTGTGTGCTCAAGGGCTGACCCGCTGGAGGGTGTCAGGGATACTTGGGGGGCGGGTGTGAGCCTCGCCTCACTTTGCTTTGCTAGTTACTGTAATCCACCTCACTTTTGCATCTTGATCCGCCAGGTTTTTTATCTTGAAATTTTTTTAAAAAATTAATAACAGGGACCTCCCTGATGGTCCAGTGGTTAACTACAGGGGACAAGGTTTCGATCTTTGGTTAGGGAACTAAGATCCTGCTCAGGCCATGGTGTGCAGCCAAAAAAAAAAAAAAAAAACAAATGTCCCTGGGTAGTCAGGGCCCTCTTTTGTTTTAGAAGAAAGAGAAACATACTGGTTGAAAGTAGAGCTATTTTAACCAGGCTGGTAATCGGACTCGCCTAGGGAACATTAAGAAATAGATTGCTGGTTTCACCTAGAGATTCATTCAGTGGGTTTGAGGTTTTATATATATCAGGAATCAGTGTTTTTGAAAGAGCTCTGAGGATTCTGACAATTGCTTTAAAACTTAGTCCTCCTCCCAAGGGACCTGCCGAGGTGGCATCCGTTTTTCTTCATAATCTTTTGCTATTTCAACACTGCTGGGTTAAATATATCTAGACTTCTCCACTGTGTTTTTATGGGGCCATTGGTTCGTTTCCACCAGTTGCCCTTCAGAGATCAAACACAGTGGTGGGTGTTCAGCCAAAACACTGCCTTGCTGTTGCTGATTTTAGGGCTTGGCGTCTGGAGGTGGGTGTCCAGTAGTGGAGATACGTTTTGAATCCCTCACTCTCAGAGCCGTGTCCTCCTTCAGACCTGTGACAATATGGATTCTAGCTGAGACGTCCTTCTTCCTGTGTGAGACCTAGAGGAGCTGGGAGGAAGTTTCCTGCTTAGTCAGAAAAGAAAATCAGGCCAAGGTCTCGTGTGCTGGCGTCTGCTCACTGGTCACCCCTTCTCCTCCGACAGCCCAGGGGCTCCGTGAGGCTCCAAGGCTGTCCTGGTCCTGGTGGGGGCCGGGGGCGAGGCT